GAGTGACACCTTGAACGCGAACCTGTCGAGTTCTTCGAGTCATCGTTTAAAGATTCCTTGAAATAATTAAAATGTAAATTATTTTTGGTTTACTTTTTTGTAAATAATATTTTAAAGAAAACAAATTGCGAAAACGATACCCACCAAAAAGTAAAGAAAGTTGGAATAAAGGTGGAATGAAGTTAGGAGATACTCTATTTATTTTCAAAAAAACAAATGTTGGCCAATGAACAATCATCGACGATCATCATTACGTCATTCGTTAGTAAAATATGAATAACGTGATCTGAATTGTTGTTTCTATGAAAATTATGAAAAATTAAAAATTTATTTTATAAATTGTGTATTTATGAAATATACAGTACTTTCTAGTAATCTAACAAATTTATGAATTGTACTAAATTTTACTCAAATAATGAAGAGCATACGTCCATATTCAAATTTTTTATCACTTCTCATTACAATGCAAGGATTCACAAATTAATTCACATTTGCACATAAGGTAAAAGATTCTAAATATTATATTCTACATGAATTATGTTTTCACGATAACACACATAAGCCAGCAAAAATAATAGTCTATCACATTCATGTTTTTGAATTTTTAAATTTGATCTAAATGTTTGTGAGTATATAAACAAAAACGAAATATAAGCGGATGGATCCGATAAAAAAAAAATGAGAACTTTCACATCTATAAAAAACAACTATAATGCCAAAATTATACGTTGTCATTTGATTGGTGAAATGACGTTTAAATAAAATAAATAGGTACTTTATGACTCATCAGATGCTGTATTTTATATTTACTCACTATTATTGTAAACCTTGTTCATATGGTGTAGTGTTAGAATTTGACCGCTTTTAGGACTTGAAAAGCAGTTTTTGGTTTAGAAGATTTTTCAACTTTGGAATAAACATAAGAAGATATACGACAGAAAGAAATCAATCCGCTTTTGTCGAACCTGTCAAGAGGTCGTGAATCTTGAAAGATGTTCGATGCCACTGAAAATATCGTGATCTTTGGAAGAAAATAATCCGATTTTATAGATCACATCAAGAAGTTGTATTCTTCGAAGAAGACTAACCGATTTATAGACCCTATCAAGTGGTTGTGTTCCTTAAAAAAAAATATGATTTTATCAAGTGGTCGAGAAAATGGTATTTATCGATCCTGTCAAGTAATCGTGATCCCTCGAAGACTATCTGATATTATCGAACCTGTCAAGAAGTCTTGATCGTTTGTTAAAGTTCGATTCCGTTACAAATGATCGTGAATCTTGAAAGAAAATTCGTTTATATCGATCCCGCCAAGTGGTCTTGATCCTTGAATAAAATTATCCGAACTTATCGATCCCGCAAAGAGGTCACTGAAGTCGATCTTGTAGCATGATGTCGTGTCGTAATTGCCTACAATGAACGAAGAGCCCTTTTTTTAACATGAACTTTATACTTTTTATTTAGTCAAGTATATTTTTAAAACCTTTTTAACAAAATTCATCTCTTTTGGAAATGAATACCCTTTCGGTCATTTCTTTCAGTAAGTTTCTTTAATAAATTATATGTTTTTCGATTCTAACAAAATTATTTCTTTTTACAGAATATTTTAATATTATGCTTTTATTTTCGATACTATAATCTTATCCTTAACTCATTTTATTTCAAATATTATCCTTAATTGATTAGATGGATTCCTTCGATTTGAAAACGAAATGATCGAATCCAATTTAAGGCGCTAGGTTTCCTTCCAGTATGGGTTGAAATTATTCTTTAATCTCTTTTCAGTTAAGGCAAATTGATCTTAATTTTGGTGTTTGCGATTGGTATTGACGTCCTCGCCGTGCAGCCTGTGTATATATTAATAGCGAACATGTACCATTTCTTTTGTCAATATTTAAATTTTGTTATTCACAAAAATCAGTCATTTTTTTTAAAAAAAAAAAATAAGCCGAGTATACCGCTATAACATCATGTTATAGCAGAATAATCAGCTTAAGATTCCTGGATCGCTCTAACTGGATTCCAACTTTAGATGAAAAACAATTTAACTAACGTTTAGAATAATAAAAAAAATAAAAACTGTAAAAAAAAAAATTCATAAATGAAAGTCTTAAAAATAAAGGTATTAGTTGATTCCTAATTAGTAACGCTAGCAATCTCTTCCATAAAATTCTTTATAATTCGTAATAATTATCATTATTTCAGTTTGTACGGATTCAATTTGACAATGCAATGTGATCTTTTTTTTAAAAGAAAGTAAGTTTCGAAATAAATTTTTTTTACTTGTTCGTTCACATGATTGCAAAAAAAGTAATTCTTCACCGAATATAATCCGTTCATAAAACAAAAATTTTATAAATTCAAACTCTCAAATTCTTTGTATATTCATAATGGTAATTACAAAAACACAGAAGTATGAACTTTAGAAGTATAAGTATTACATTAAGAATAATTAATATAAGCTCCACTATTTTTTTCACGGTATTTGAAGATATTATAGATAATAATAAATATTTTTCAAAATTACTTTATCATTGTTGGATTATCATAACTGTTAATTTGACTTTCAGAAATGAATAACCCGCTTCTATTTCATTTTCTATTATTGCAACTGAAAAAAGACACGCCTACATTTAGTGGACCAAATTAAAAAAAAATAATAATTTGTGTTTGATAAACCAGTTATTATAATTTTAATCAATGCCAACACTTTCATGGCGACAGTCGAGTAGATGTATCTATGCTTGATCATTTTCCTTATATAAACAATCAAATAACTAAAGCTATTTAATAACAATTGTCCGATTAAGTGGGGTTTGATATTAAAATCACGTTACGGATCTTACTATTTACTATGTATCTTAACGATTTTAATCACGAAAGGCCCGTATTCATAAAATCGAAGCATAGCGATATACAGTCCCCGGCGAAAAGAATGGCGGTGCAAACTTTTACTATATAATTAACTTTTTTTTGAAAGTATTTGTATAAACAATTACATGGTATTTTATTGCATTACTAATCTGAATGCTATGTGTATTTATTTGAAATCCGCAATGCATATTATAATATGAATAAAAATTTTGCGATTGTGAAACAAGATCAAATTTAAGTGTTTGATCATTAAAATACAAATTACAAAAATTTTACTATGTTAACGAGCTTCACTCACTAATAAAAATTGTTTAGCTAAAAACTTTACAATAGAAACAATATATTTTAACTAAAAAGGTAGAAAATAAAAAACAAATATGAAGAAAGACTAACTTCCTAATTTTTTAGTATTTTAACTTATATTTAAATCCAGATTGACAGAGAAGGAGAATACTTTTTATATTTTAATTATTTGAGTGTATAATTCCTTAATCAAAAACATTTAAGAATAAAAAAAATTTTTGAAAGTTATTTATTAAAAACTTTTATTATAAAAACTTTCTGCCATTCTTTTCGCTGGGGACTGTAATTATATATATATTTATATTTAATTTAATTTATATTTAATTATATTTTATTTAAAATATTTATATAGTATTTATCTTTGTATAAATTATAAATAAAATATTTATATAGTATTTCACTAATTGAAATAGTCCAAATTGGCTAAAAATCAGATAGCTGATTTTAAGCTGATTTTGATACTATTTACGTCCTATTTGCTATATTTTCTGATCGGTATAAATAGGTGCTGATAGACGCCAATCGACCCTAATCAGACATGACCATTCAGAATTTAAATTCAATCATAAATCAGCCTAAAACTGGCCTTAATTCGGCAACAATTCAGATGTTGATAGATACTGATCAACCCTAATCAGACATAACCATTTGGAACTTAAATAACCATAAATCAGCCTAAAATTAGCCTCAATTTAGTAACAATATAGACGCTGATCGACTCTAATCAGACAAGCAATTCAGCATCAATAATTGGTACATTTTATTTATTAAATTTATTAAATATTAAAATTTATTAATAATAAAAACCTAATATAAATTTGCAAAAATATAACAAAATATCACTAAAATCTACTGATTAATTTCTTATTAAAAATAGAATAATAAAATAATAAAATATGATCCTCTTAAATCATCTTAAATATAGATAAATAAATAATATATGATAAAAATATGATCCATTTCTTTTGAAATCGCCTAAAAAATGTAAAAATAATAAATATAAAATGCAAAAAAAAATAGAAAAATCAACTCAAAATCACCCTAAAAAAATGTAGATAATTATTAAAATTGACCTGTTCCCATTCAAATTATCAGAAAAAAATATAAAAATAATTATTCAAATTGATCTGTTTTCACCTAAATTATCCAAAAATTCATCATTCACTATCATCTATTACAGGATCGTCTTCACTTTCTTCAGCAGCAGATGAAACCCCCTTCTGATTTTAGTATATTCCTCAGTTTCAGTTACATATTCTTTTACAGTTATAACTCTTGTTTCGACCTCAGTATCATAGATCATACCAGGTTGTGCTTTATATTGTCACTGTGGAATTCTTCAACTCGAGGTGGTCACGTTATCAAGTCTCTACTCAAAATTTCTTAACTACGGCTTACTGCGGTTAAGACGTTAGGATCTGCCTAACTCTTAACTTTACCAAATCTACGCGTTGAACTTAAACAAATCTATCAAGTATGAAG